CCCCCTAGTGGCGGCAATTAGCATTCCCTCTCCACCAAGGGGTGGCAGAGCGGCTGCTCCTCCTGAGGCAAGAGGTATGTGATTCCAACCACTCCCACCACACGCAAAGTGAAGGGCCCCACCTACAGACCATCAAGGGTATTACATTTTAAAACAAAACAAACATTATTAAAAGGTCATCAAAGTTAAAGGCCTCTGTGGATAAAACTAAACAGTATGCACCTGCACAAAGACTCCAGGGCGCAAAAGGTGCCGCATCTTCTCCAGGATCTCTTTCTGTAGTGTGTCCCAGGTCACTGTACGCTCCAAATACAAAATAAATGGATTACCAAACCTAAGGGAGAATCAAAAACAGCAGGATTTGAGAGAATTCTTTAAATAATGTTGGACATTCTCACATACTGTTGTTCATTAAAGTACCTGCGTCCTTGCTGTCCAGCGCAGGCTCTGTTACACACCAAGAGGACAATCTTCTCAGCCTGCCCACTATTCTTATTAGGACTCAGAGGTGGTGTTGTAGGCTCTTGTATTTGTGTGGATATCCTGTTATTATCTGTGCCATACTTCAAGTTGTTCTGGTTGAGATTTGCATGTGGGCTCCCTGAAATTAACACAAAAATCTAAAGTTACAAAAATATATACTGTGTTATAAGCTGCTTTAAAAATCATCCATCTTTATTGGTAAGTATGTGCAGCATCCTCCTTAATGGAACATTTTCCTATTAGTCCATGTTTAACCTAATCTACTGCCATAGCAACACAAAGAGCTAAGATAATAACTGGGAAATAAACAGGATATTGTACCGCCTCGCTTGGAGCGGATCTGCTCTGGCCTGAATAGCTCAGGTGTCTCGAAGGCAAAGATGGAGTCGCTCTCCTGAATGGCCTCGAGGTCCTCATCATCATCACAGAAGGAGCGGTGAAAGCCATCATAGTACATTTCAGTGAGGACAATCTGAGAACAAAAGCAGGGAGATTGTTGCATTTGGATTCATTTATTTGATAAAAATGAGTGAAACTAAACTCTATCACGTAGTAACAAAAATAGAAGTGCTGCCAAATATCAGCACTGATGATAAAATGCTGCTCAAATTGATAATCGAGATAATCTTACACTATGAGATAACTCAAATACAAACTTTACCACCAAATTTAACAGCCTTAAATGTTTCCAATGAAGCAGCAGCACCTGTTGGGCAGGGATTTTGGTCTCTTGGGCCACAGCTTGTCTCAGCCTGGACACAGTGCCAGAGAGAGGCACTGCCACTCCGACCCTCATACAGTGAGAGCACTTTCCTTGGTACACCACCGTCACATACAAAGGCCTGCAGCACAGAAAGACTTAAATGATCTGGCTGTTTCATAATAATGGCTGGACTGATGTTTCAAAGACAGATGGCATCTTCTAATTTTAACATCGTTCACTGCGTTTGTCTAGCTTTGGTTTGACACTTTTTCAACACTGGGCTCTGACTGTATCTTGTTTCATTGCACTTTTGGATACAGGGAAATTTTTTTGTCTATTAGATATTGGTTTACTTATAAACAGAGCCACCTTACCGAGTGTGAGGTACTGGGATTGGCAGTGAGATGCAGAGGAAAGGATCAAAGGTGTTGCTCTGTTTCTGGCAGTGAGGGCAAGTCAGGGAGGACCTACACAAAGACATAATGAGAATTAAACAATGTTACTGGAGCACTGACATAGGGCATATGGGCATATGACATATTGTAGTTTTACAGGTGTTATGTGCCAAACTATTTCCTGCCTGAAAAACTCAAGGTGACCACAAAAGACTCCAGGAAGTGCTGGAGACATCTCCCATAAAACCACAAATTGTTCTTTTAGCACTTTTTTTGTAGAATAAAAAAAAAAGAAAATTCTAACATGTTTAAGAAAGGCAGATTTTATTTCTTTAGAAAAAGGCCAGGCTAAATGGTTCCCCCTGTTTCTAGTCTTTAATCTAAGCTAACCAGCTGCTTGCTACATGTATTGAATCTCAGCAAGAAAGAAAATAAGTGCATTTCCCAAAATGCCAAATGATTGCTTTAAAATGAAGGGAGCACATGTATGAAAAAGTAAATTTCTACCGTAGATTCGAAATTTGCCCTGCCAGGCACTGCATGATGCTGTGGACCTTGTGTGACTACTTATCAGTGTTCCTTGTTGTGTTTTGTTACAGCCACATGTGTGTGAGCTGGGAATAAGTTAGTATTCACATTTGGTATGAACAGATTATGTAGCAGCAGTTATAACTTTCAACCTGTATTGTGCCTGAAACAGCTCCTGTACAAAAGAGCCAGGTGCTGGTAGTGGAGTTCCTTCAGGGGCAGTTTCTTCTTCTACTGGAGGCTGGAACAATAAAACATACACTGAACAATTATTTGGATGTTAAATAACAGCAGCAGTCACCAGTAGCACAATTTATAGTATTACAATGTTTAGTTATTATTATTAATCAGTGTATTATTTATTATTATTATACATAGGTTGGGCAACACCAAAGAAGCTATATTCTGTATTTAGGTTATACTGGTCTATAGCTGAACATAAAGCACTCTCCAGTATGTTGCAATTGTGATGACTAACTGTGTTCCACGTTGCTGTTTACCTTCCTGGGGGGTCTGCTGTCAGGGTGGACAATATGGTTCAGGTCTTCATGAACTCTATCCAGCAACCAGAGGAGGAATTCCTGGGCATCGTGCTGGGAGTTACCCCTAAACTGAAGGGCGCTCTTTGACACCACATTCTGCAACAGAGAATAGCAGAATAAACAAATTAGGTTCTGGCGATTGCTCCTAAAATAGAGATGGCTTTGTAGTGCAGTGAAAACCTGTTCATCTTTTGAAACTGCCTGATTATAAAATATTCAGCAAGTTTGACCATGGTGATGATCAGCACAATCCTAGAGGTCAGCAGTGGTGAGGTGGTGAGAGCCAGCTGTGGGGAGGCTTTTTAAAACCAGGATGCACGGTGAAAATTGACAGGTTATTCTCATTGACAATTAGCTGCTGGAGATGGCCACAGTGTGTCCACAGAGGCACCCAGACCGGCCATTATATAGTCATCTCTACTCAGTGGCTATCAAATGTCACACAAGGTCAAAGACATGAAGGGACTGAGCACTGTTTGCACTCAGCCTCTCCCATGTGACAGTCTTTCTCATTTTCAGTGCATTACTGAGGCATTTTGTACAAGATGTGGAGCAAACAAAGAGCTAGTCGTCCTTGTGCAGCTTGACCACAAAGGTCATCTCTGAGGTCTACTGATGGAAACAGAGCACATGCTTATGTTAGTAGACTCCTCTGATTAAGATACAATTTTAAGGCATTAGTGAGCCATTAAAAAACTTGGATGATGCTGTTAGCCAAAGAAATACAATAAATTTACTTTCTAACAACACAGCTGCAAGTAAACTAATAAAAAAAAACAGTCACCACATTTTTTGTGGCAAAATAACAGTTATTCTTCCCTAACAACAGTTTCTATTATACAATTGCTATTGTCAAAGTGTTATATATATTTTTGTGCAGGATCATTACCACAAAGCAGTACATGAATAAGATATGAACTGCTTATCATTTATTATCCCTGACATACAGATGGCCTATGAAACCTATAAAAAGGTCTAATATGTTTTATCAACCACTGATTTCAGTCATCTTGTGTTGGTTACAGGCTCTCGCCATTTGTTTTACTGTCAATCTCATTGGGAAATTAAGTATCGCTTTTCACAAATGACGAATGTCTCTCGTAATTATCTATGAGATTTTGTGTAGATCATGGTCTTAGACAGTTTGAATGGTGTACAGCAACATAATCCTCAAACCAATTGCCATGGTGAGAAAACGGATTCTGAGACGGTGGACAATTTCCCTGTGCTACTGTTACTGAAGTCTTCCTAATGATCTTTAAGTACTCTCCGCTGTTGCTTAGGTTGTGTTCAGAGGCAAGAGGCACAAACCTGTCACATGTGCATTCTGAGCTGTAATGTACACTAATGAAAATCGCTAGTTCAGTTCACCAATTTCAATGGAAACCCAGTTCTCTGTTTCAGCTTTTGGTATTGCAGAGAATGGTGGTACAGTTCCACAGAAGGAGAGATCAGGTGCTTTGCTGTCTTAAATCATGTGATCTCAACATGGGGATTAAATAAAATTATACAAGATTGCTAATGAGTTTATTTAAGCAGTATCCAGCTATTGGTACTTTATTTATACATTGTGTTTAGCTTTGTTTTGTTTGTGTTGTGTGTTTTGTTGGAAAGATAATAGAAAAGGAACATGCCAAGTGTGGGTACTTGTTGTGTATCAGCTGTCTTTGGGTGTTTATTTCGGTTGATGTCCCCCCCCCAAACATATGAGGAATGATAATACAATGTAACAATTTGGGATGCATTAACAGTAAAAAAAAAAGAAGAAGAAATCACCAATAGTTTTCAGATTTTGTTTGTCATTGTGTCTGAAAAGGCCGGGTTGCATTTAGTTTCCCTACTAAATTAAACATATTCAAGGCCCCTCACTCTGAGGAGAACAACCTATATCTAATCAGACAGTTCCTGGCTGGCACCCAAGGTAGAAAGAATGGACAGAAATAGTAACACTGTCAAGAATAAGCAATGTGCTGTATGGCCGTGTGCAGTTTAGTTTCTCTCCGGTTTGCTTTTTGAACTTTTGAAAGAAGAAAATGGGCCATCAAACTGAAAAAGACATAAACAAAGAAACTTTTGTGATTGTGACAGACATACTTTTCAGTGCTGGGATCCAGGTCAAAGAGGTGACACGATAAAAAGGCAGTGTGGAATAAAAGCTTATGAGTGTGAGACAGACAATCACGCAGTTAAAAAAACAGATGGGTTTCATTAAGGCGCAGCTCTAGGACTCAACACTCAGCTGACAGGCTCAAACAGCCTTTTATTGAAAGGAGTTTTAGTCCAGGAACACTGGCTTTGCAGTTTAATTAGGATTTATTTCCAAGCCCAAATATTACGTAAACTCCAATCATGCTGAGAATAAAGCTATACAATGAAACCAGCTTGAATATTTCATACCTAAAATGTGAAATAAAAATACTTTGAACTTCAGAATTAGAGAAAGGTCTACGCAATACAGAATGAGTAATAATGTTCATGAAGGTTGTTGACAGTCAAACTAGTCATTCAAGGCTCATACATAATTATTAAGACTGGCCATATGTGCATTCTGACAGATGCAGAAATCTCATGATAAATAAACTCTTTGCCTTTGACTGACCAGTTGAACAGAAGCATGAATTTGATATTTTCAGAACAAATTTTATTTTGATTTAGGATTGTGCAAGATAACTGGCTTAGATGCTCCTGTTGTAACCCCATTTCATTTATTATGACAATCAAAATGAGCAGTATTTGAAAAGAAATCATGGCCAAGGTGCTACTGGTTATCCCATAACCCAATTTTTAACAGTGTTAGTGAGTTTATTTTTCTAAAACTATATTCAACAGTCACGTGAACTCACTGAAAGATGCATGGCTATAATGAACCTCCAGCTGGGGATCCTGATAACTCCAAAAAACTCAACCCAGCTGTAAACACTGAAAGATCCTGTTCCCAACCTTCCATTTCAGTTGGTGACAACTTCCTATGCATCAATTAAAATAGACAATGAACAAACATACTATTATTTTAAACTGTATCCATTGGGGGAAATGGCAGATCACTTTTTTTTTAAATCCAGTTACACTTTTTGAAGACCCTGTTGAGACCCCGTTAGGTCTGAACATCTTACCTTGAAGTCTCTGCTGTGCTGAGGGGTGTACTCAAAGGTCCACAGAGCCCGAACCAGCCCGGACAGCTGCTCAGTCACCTCTCCTGCCTCCTGCTGCTGGCTCCCCTTTTTCTGCACCAGCACCCCGTTAGACTTGGCCTTTTCGTTGTTGCTGGTCGTCTCTCCCCCTCTGAACTGCTCCAAAGCCAGGTACTCAGCAAACAGCTCCGTGTTGCTCAGGCACTGTAAGATAGCGTTCATGAAGCAGGTGTTGCCGTGGTTCTTGAGTCCGGCGACACCCGGCACCTTGTCCCCGAAGGGAAATCCCCCGCAGTCACTGTCGTCGGACGGGACTGACCCTGCGGTGGTGGTCGGGATCAAGGCTGAGTCGTCCTTCTCGTCCTCGGCGGCCTGCTCGTCGGTGCCAAAATGAGACAGAGTCGACAGAGTCCGGAGAACTCTGTTCATAAAGCTCCCCACTGAGCGCACCGAGCTCCTCCGGAAGAGCTTTTTGCTGAAGGATTTCTTCTCCTTGCTACTGACAACTTTTGACATGGTCAGTCTGAAGGCTTTCCCCGCGTTTTACGCCTTAAATCCAAAGAGGGCACCCTGTTCAGAAGAGCATCGCCTCCTCATCCCCGTGCAGCGACAGCTCCTTCACTTTATGTTTATAGCCTACAAGGCCTGAGCATATGTCACAGGAACATGAAGGTCTGCTAGTTCTGGGGATCATATCATATGGAGACAGCAGAGTGGCATCAGATTATCCCACTTGCAACACTGCGTCGGATTGCATAAACAGTGGAGAGCCACTGTCAGGGCGCTTTCCATGAATGGCTGGGGGAGTCCCGCACCAGGCAGCAGCCATCACCTCTAGCAGTCGGTCCGCTGAAATCACATCACCCGTGTCATTGTTCAGACACAAAAACAAGGCGCTGTGGTTGTCCACCACTGGATACAATGTCTGTCAGACACAAACATCAAATCAACCTTTAACAATTAGCCTATTGGCTGAGAGTGACGTGCGAAATTCCTCATCATTTATTAAAAAAGCGCAGCTCCACCCTTTTAAAAGGTATTCCTTCCACTCTGGTCATCAAATCCACGGTGGTGTTGGAATCTGAAGTGTTGGTGATCTTCACCCAGTGGATCTCTTCTCTAAATCTCCTCCACAGTGGGCGCGCTTGCGGGAGCTCTGCCAAACTGAGGAAGCCCCCGACCGGAGCGGCTCAGCTCGCTGCTCCCGTGTTTGGCTGCCGTGAAGCATCTCTTCGTGTGCCAGACTTGAAAGGTGCACGTTTCAGTGTACCCATCCGAAAGTTTTTGGATAGTTAAGTCTTCGTGCGCCTTAATTCGCCCTCCGGATGGGATTCATGGCGAGGCCGCCTCTCCCGTCTCCATCCTCATCTGTAGGCACCGATACTGCAGGCAGGGCGGTAACGGCTGACGTCAGAGCCAAACACTGGTCCATGTTGGAGGAGAGAAGGTACCAGCATGTGATGCTGGATGATGCTCCATCCCTCTGAACAGTATGCACACTGATGAGCGCCAGTGATATTATTGCAAAATTAAAATCCAACGTGAATCATTTTAGAGGGTCGGTACAAAGATAATGCTTTAGAGCGCAAGTCTCCATGAATCTATAGGCGCATGTATTATACTAGAAGTATTAGATGAGCCTACAATAGTCTTATAGGAAACTCTATTGCAAATAAAGTCCTGCATTCAAAATCCACTTGAGTAAAGCCTCCGGAAGCATGTTGCAGTAGTGCAGAATGTCCCCTTAGATGTTGCTCATATACTGTGTTATTACTCATTAATATGCAGGAGCATAATATAGCTGGTCAAGGAAGAACTGTTTTATATATTTATATAGCCTACTACTGGGTAGTTTTAACAGCATCATTTTATAAAATTATACTCGATCCAAAATCCTAATATGAAAGTTAGATACTAGCCGCCATGCATGTTGAGTAAAACGTGCAATTATTCTCGTGTGTTAAACTTAAAATTAAGAAAAGGGTGTTATTTTTATTTATGTTATTTTGACAAGGATGTTTGAGTCTAGAAATTTCACAAAGACATAGCAGCTTCCCACAACCCAAAGTGTGACTGACAAATAGTCCATTTACAGTTATATAAAACAGAGAAACTCTGCAGAGCTTTACATTTGAGATACTTGAACATGATAATGACATTTTTGCTAAGTGGCTTAAGCATCCCACTTCCTTTCACCACTAAATCATGATGCTATTCCTCTCAAGTAGGAGTCTTACTTATGTGTTACAGTAAAGTCTATTTCTGCATGCATTCCCCTGACAGTTGACTGTGACAGACATGCCAATTTTCATGGTTCAAACTTGCATTGCACTGGACACATGTACAGCTCAATCACTGTGGGATTACAAAACCATTTGGGAAAAAGACCATGCATTTACTAAACTAGATCAATTACCCCTATTTGATCTAGTGAAATAAAAAAAAGCTTGATAAAATAACACGGGGTACAATATAGTGTTGTATTTAATGCACATATTTTCATCATACCACATGGATAAATATGGAAATTAATTACCCAGACCCCTCTGCAGCAAGACAGAGCACCTCCACCTTTAAGTACAGAATGTGAAGCTCAATTAACAAAAATACAGCTCATATCAGAAATATTAGTGTAATATAATTTATTATAAATGAGTTACATGATAACAAATATGTTGTCATATCGATTTCAAATTTGCTCTCACACAGGCCTTGATGCAGATTTTGTGACTTCTGCAGATACTTTAGTAACTTGCAAATGCAAACCATGACATGTTATAGTCAAGTCACTTTGACCTTTTGGACTGACAAGAAGGCATCACCACTGGTGAGATATTGTAAATAGTCACCATCATTTTAACATTAATAATGGTATAAAAAGTCTGACCCACCCTGTTTTAATCTCTCATCATTCACACAAACCCCATTCAAACAGGACTATAATCCTAAAATGCTGCAGCCCCAAATTTGAAACAGATAAACCAACTACTACCAAGATCATATTCTTCTTCATTTTGTCCACAACTGAGTCCAGCACCCTCTCCCATGCTGTTAGTAGTCGATGCCCCGGAGGGCAGCAATGGAGGAGGCCAGCCGACGAGGCAGCAGCTTGGCCGTCTGTCTGTAGTCTTCTGGTTTGGCCCTCAGCAGGGTCACAATGTGCTGCAGGCTGCAGGAGGGCTGCAGGCCCAGAGCATCCATCACATTGCTCAGGTAGTCTGTGGAGCAGGATCAAGAGTCATCAAGCCCAAATGATATGATACACATTAACTTAACCTTAAGCCGTGATTTCATTTCCTTCTGTTATATGCGCCTTATTAATAACAGTGTAACTATACATCACTGCACCGATATCTGTGGCCAGCTGTTTAGTGGAATGGGGGCTCAGTTTGGGGATGAGCAGGATGGCATCACAGTAGGTCTGCATTGTTGCCCGAGCAATGGAGCCCAGCCAGTAGTCTGCAGTGTTGTCCAGCTCAGGAAGGTCATCACCTAAGACGGAGGAAAGGTGATTATTTGAAAAGTGTTGTAACGCTTCAGTGTAAATGCTTATACAGATGCATAATACAATAGTTTTACTATACAAAAGTTAATTATTTGAGATAAGGGTCTCTCTCTATAGCTTTGAATTTAGATGAAAAATGACGGATGTAAGGTTTCATAACAGTAGAGGACGTGTTAGTGGAAAGAAAATAAACCAGGCCACTGAGAAAAAGGGAAACAAGCAAAAAACCTTGCTCTGGAGGAAAAGGCAGTTTCCCAGCATGTAGGGCCATTTCTAGTGCCGGGTCCTCCTGTGCCACAAACGGCTCCAAGTGGAGTGGCAAAGACATCAGGTACTGCCCTATCTACATTGGGGAAAACAAAGTGATGAACTTTGATCATGTATCGTATGTGTTACTTTTATTAACCATATATGTACAAACAGACTTCTACCTTGACTGATAAAATAACCTTTGTTCTTTTTGTACTGATCTACACTACAACTTTATATCAATTATGATTTAGAACTTATAAGCGTAAACTTTATTGCAAAAATACTAGGTATTGGATTTACTTTAACTGATCGTCATGACACATATTCAGCTCAATTCTGACTAACATTTGCAATGTATTCTTGCGGTGACAGGCTGAAAGTAGGTAGGTCTTCTGTGTAGCTTTCTCCAAAACCAGGTGCCTCTTGACTCTGAGAGCAAACATGGAGCACAAATCAAACAGTGTGAGATTAAAATAGATACAGTATGTCCAACACTCAAATGCACATGGACACAGACAATCCAAAAGCTCTCAGCACTCAAATCATATTTAAAATCAAATAATGTGGAAACCTGACACTTAATCACCTCCATCTTGGAGACGAGGCAGAGCTGGTGTTTGATCTGCAGAAAGACAGAGTCGAAGGCCAGCTGGTTGGCCTGCTGGTTGAGTCTGGTCAGAGCTGCTCTGGGCTCAGCTAGCAGGCTGGAGTTACCTGCGCCCTTCTCCTGCGAGATGAGAGGAGAGAGATGCCTCAAAACAGCTGCAGAGGGTCATTAATAAACCACCTTTTCATATGCAACTACAGGTCAGAGCCAGTTCTCTTCAGAGGACATCAACAGATGTAATACTTTACTTATAAATATTTTGGCATCATGCCCCGCTCCCTACCTTTAATGAGTAGAGGACCTCCATCAGGCTGTTGTATTCAGCCATATTTCCCCTCTGAAGGTAGTTGTATTCCTGCCAGGGGTTCTTGGTGGCACTCTTCTTCTCTGTGGAGGTGGCCTCCTGGATGCCTGCTAGGCTGCGTGGGCTGTATGACTCAGACAGGTATTTACCTGCTGTGCCCAGGATCCTATGGCAAGGATTGATCATAAAGAATGCATGAAGTTCCTTAAAATCTGTCTTGCTGACGGTGTGCATGCTGTACCATTAGTCATATAAGTATAAGCATTCCTCTCACTTGTTTGATAGCTGCTGCTCAAAGGCTCCACTGTGTCTAAGTAACTCTCCGCATGTAGCAATAATCCTGCAAAAACCAATAAAAAAATGCATGTGACTTTTGATGTTTAAAAAAGTATTCTAATGAAATTATCTCAGCTCATGATATTAACCTGACTGAGTTTTGGAAAGCTGTCCAGTCTTCCTGAAAAACAAATGAACTTGGTGTATCCTCCAGCTTACATTTCTTCTTGATTGACTGCAGTGTGGTGGAAAAGTCTGACACATACCTAGAAAATGCACAATGTTGAGAAAAAAAAACCCCCACATATAAATCAATTAAAGTAACGTCTACACATACTAAAGTTAGGTGAATTACTTCTATTACAAAAGAAATATGTTAATACACTGCACATGATTGTGAGTAAAGGCTCCTTACTTGGTAAAGAGGGCTTTGAGAGCCTTAAGGAGGCCACACACAGCCAGCCCATCAGTCAATTTGACACAGCGGTCCACTGCAGCACTGGCCAGGCCAAACAACTTGCTGACAGAGTGGCTCAACTCTTCCACACAATCAATTACTTCACCGTGTTCCTACAGAGAACAGCAAAACAAAAAGTGCCACAACAGGAATCAAACAAAAATAACAGTTGTGGCAAGGTTTTAACAGATCTTTATGTTTTGTGTATATGTGAGTGTGTGTTACCAAAGGTACAGCACTGATCTGGATGAGGAGATGAGCTTCCTCCAGATCTCCATACTGCAGTTGATAAGGTTTATAGGGGTCGTACAGTGCACAGACCAGCTCATTCACCTTTAGAAGGTTATTCTCTGCTGGAAAAGAAGCACAGGCACCTTACTCACCACACCTCCAATAAATGTAGTTTCTTTGTTATGGCTTTTTCACTTTTGCTGTTTCACAGACCCAGGTGTGGCAGCATGGCGGCCTCCAGACCGTGTGCAAAGGTGGATGTGGTGTGGTGGAGCTCCAGCAAGGTGTCGAGACGCTGCTCATGGACTGCCTGCTCCATGGCTGTGCTCAGGCAGACAGGGATGGATGGCACCATGGACCCCAGAGTCTGGATCAGCAACACTGTCACCACCTCATATGGGTTCTTGAACACCTGTGGGGTGTTACAGTTTAGGTGATGTTTCAACAAAGAGCACTGTGACATCCTTACAATTTTATTACAAATCTAAAAATGAAGTTCATAATAAACTTAGTACCCAAGATTTATTACACTTTTCTCTGACTGATTGCTGCTTAGGATTTTCAAATAATGTGTTTAAATTGTTGGAACCAATCAGGCGTCCATCTCACTATTGCAGTGTTTCTGACCTGGCTGCTCCACTGAAGCTGCGTGTGCCATGTGGACAGCAAGGTGTCGTAGAATTCAGACAGCTGCTGATTTAGACTGAGCTCGCTCTGAGAGACATCCTGCCACATGGCCACCAGCTGGCCCTGGACATGCAAAAACAGACATTCATCCACAAGGTGACATTAAAGCACTCCTCTACCAAATAATTACAACATATGAGACTATGATTTTGTGATGTCTTACTGAGATGTAACCAAACACTCACTGTTCAATATTACTATGATAAAAAGTCCAAGATACAATATGTGTCACGACATTAAAATCGGTGTTAAGGTTCTCAGTACGGGACCAGTTGAAGTGGTTATTCCCCCAACCACAGGGGGAAATAGTGAGGAAACTGCTGCTTGACTCAACAGAACGAGGATAAGAAGACACCAAAATACAGTCGGTCAAGCTACCCTGTATAAATAAATACATAAACAATCTACAGAAATGTAATATTTGTGCATTACCTGAGGCGTTTTTCAAACGTGGTTTACTTTTTGAAGAGACTTTATGGGTGGTTACTAAGTGGTTGCTTTTGCATTTGTGCATCTGGTTCGTGTGCCCATTGCCATTATATTGTTGCACGCAACTGTGTCCAAACTGTTTCTTCAAGATGTATCCAGGACTGTCTGTCTTAACCAGGGCTAGTATTACCTTCACGTGGCAGTATTTGCTAATTGTTCAGTGTTTTGTTAGTTTCCTTTTTGTCTGTGTCATTTTCTTGAAAAGGGAAAACTTAAATGCTGCCACATAAAAGCTCTAGAAGTCGATGATGGAGCATCCACTATGTCAGTTCCAAATTCAGCAACTTGAATGCAATTAAACTAGTGAAATAATCATATGTAATATCCTTGTAGATAGTCCCACAACAGCATCAAGAAATTTTTCTGTCACAATATCATAAAATTACAAATATCGCTTCATCCCAACTAATTTCTCATTGAGCTCAGGGAAGGGCCTTTTGCACTTACCTTGTGGCATTTATAGTAATAGGCAAGAAGCTGTGGCATTCTATCTATCTCTGTGAAGACTTTAACAAACAGCTTGGCTTGGTCTGCAGGGAAAAATAAACACGTAGACATAAGCAGACTGAGGGTATACTGAACATGAACTATAGTCAACTGAAGTTGACAAAAGCACTTCTCACAGGCTTTTACCTATAGACATGGAATTAAAGGCTGCTACTATCTGTGGGCTGGCCAGGGCCTCCAGTCGGTTTTTCAGAGCCTCCAGATGGACACACTTTTCAGAGTAGTCTGGTGTGTCCACTAGCATGGCCAGGCTGTTTTGCATGCTGGTCAGCTTGGAGGAGATCACTGCAAGGTCCTAGAAAAGAGAAACTAGCATATTAAAGGTACATGTCCACAAAATGATACCTAAATATTTTATTGTCAATTGCTTTATACTGTACAAGAAACAATAAAATAAATATTTCAATTGGTGTAAAAGCCTTTAATCTGTAAGAGGCCTATTTTTGGAAATGTATATTTATGCAAATAGTCACATTACATAGAAAGCTGAATTCCATCCCATAATTTCCACATTGAGGACATTTATATAGCTCTGGATATAGCTGTCGGAACCAAAAGGTCGGCAGTCTCTACAAAAATATAACATGTAAGGCCATGTGGTAATTTCTCTCATTTCTACCTGCGTTTTAAAGGTCTCCTCAATGTCTGCGCTCAGTGTGCTCCATTTGTCGGCTTCCTGCAGAGCTTCAGCTGCCAGCTGCATACGGCTCTTCACTTGATCTATCTCCACCAGGACCTGGTGAATAAGAGCCTCACTATTTCAATAACATAACATCAACCAAACATTTTAAGAGTAAATGTAGATTGGTGTCTTTGTTTTACATGTAATATATTACTTGTGAACAATATAATAGACTTCATAGGATAACGTTCTAGTGATGGAAATGCCCACACACCTGCATTGACTGCACAGTGTCCTGTTCAAACTTCTTGATGTCCTCTTTGACCAGAACCATTTGGTCCTTGAGGAAGGAAGCTTCCTGTTTCACAGACTCGACATCTCGCAGCACTCTGGGCATATTTTGGAGAGCCTGATTACTGCTCTCTACACAAGACATACAGTAGACTTTCAGTTAATAAAGGGCATAAAAAGATATCGAAATATAACTAAAAAAGAAAAGTATATATAACGAAAATATAACTTTGAAAACATTATATCATGGTCGGTACTCGAATCTAAAAGAAGAAATTGCCAGCAGCCAGTTCCTCTTTAGTACATATTTCATATTGCATGGTGTTGTATTGGACTGCATTAGCTTTAGTCAGCTGTACATAATAAAGTGGTAACTGAGACTGTACAGACCCTCGATAGCATTGTTGACTTCCTGGATGAACAGCTGCAATTTCATGACCAGTGTAGCTGCGTGCGTGTCCGCCTTCCCCGGCGCGTCCTTCTGCGCCACCTTGAAGGCGCCGTTCACCCAGTCTTTCACATCAAAATCATCGTCCAGAAATTTAGAGAAATCCATTTAGTCTCCTCACTCCTTCACTAGTGCACGACGCTGGGCGGTAAAACGTTACTAGTACAGTCTGTGTCATCGACCCATTGCTAACGTCGGGTTAGCTAATTTTTCCCAAACAATGGTTTCGACACGAATATAAAATAAATTGCCCAGGAAAATGAAATTATCATTACAACTAAGTATAGTTCCAATAAAGCGACGGCTTCCTCCAGAGTTGTTTTTTTAAACGTCTACAACCTTAGAGGAGAAATGTGACATATTTCCAAACGCTTAGTGCTGGTAATGCTACTAATACTTGACAACAACTTCCTCTTTGTGTTTTCTATTCACCTTCCCCAGAAACACGCACCAACACAACAAACTGACCTGCTCAATAAAATTCTGTGACCACAGTGAAGAACATTTAGTTAACAAAGCATGACGACGTATGTCCTAAATTAAGATTTATCACATTTGGACATGAGAAAAAGAGAGAACCCATAAGTTATAGCGATTGTTTTAAAGCGGTGTCACAAGTAGGTACATCCGTGCAGAAACGTGTTGGTGTATGTTTATGGGATGGTAAATGTTCGATCCCAAGCCCCGAGAGCAAGCAGAACTGGTTAGGGCGAGGCTGAGGTTAAGCATCATGAGCCACGGCTGCTTAGGGTTAGCGTGAAGGTGAGGTTCAGATTAAAATGATAACACAGAGGAGGAAAGATTTCACTTCCCTGAGTACTCCTGAGGTTTAGAATCTAAAGCTAACTGCAGTGGGACTTTTTTGCCCTGCTTTTGTTTCTCAGGCAGCCCAAACTTCCAAATATGTTCTACTAGCACATATTTTAGACTATTAAGGTTATGCCTGAGTGTAAAGGTTAGTGTTTACATAATTTAATATACAGTATACAAGTCAGCAGCTTTTTTTTTACCGTTTCCCCAGTCTAGAGATGCAAAACCTCACACTTTAAATTATGACAACAGTGAAAAACACACCTTGATGTCTCCAGGCCCAAGGACAAAGAGAAATGACACTGGTGAGACAACAGTAAAAGGAGATGGATGCTAGATAGTAAACTGATTTTGAAGTATCTATACTGTATAGTGTACTATTGCCTATATATGCCAGTAAAAGGCACAGTGGTGAAAGATGTAGCAGTCCCAAGTGACAGCAACATCTGGAAGGAGTATCAGAGGCTGGAGAAGTACCAGGGCCTGAAAGAGCAACTGGAGAGTATGGAGAAAGTGAAGGGCAAAGTGGTCCCAATGATAGGTGCACTCAGGGCTGTGACTCCTAGGCCGAGAAACTATCTCTGACAGATCCAGGAACTACATCAGAGCTCTCTGTCCATAGGAGTACAGAACAGACAAGATACATTGCAGAGCCCTCAGACTCCCCGGCCTCTGGCAGAGGACCCATGGTTGAGGAGGACAAATTGATTTGTTTGTGTAATCCCGTCCCCATGGTGGCTTTACACAGTCAAGCATCACTACAGCATTTCAGTTATTTGATATCTGCTATACCAGAAATTTATCACTACACACAGTCCATATCACGAATGCTATGCAAAGCAGAGAGACAGAAAAAATGAAAATATGTAAAGTGGTGAAGGCAGTTAAGCAACCTGCACTTCAAATACACCTCATCTTAGCAGCTACATTACCATCATATATCTCAGCTTTTTCAGCTCATTCAAAGAAATGGGAATAATTAGCAATATTAAGGACACAGTGTCCAAGGCAGTGTTTACTCCTTCTACTCTGTTATCCGGACGAGGTGGGCTACACATGGCTCAGATCACTCTGTCTCTGGTCACCTTTGTCCTGGCTCTTTTCAGAGGAGGGAGCAGCCATACCTACTGGATCTACGCGATGTTCACCTGGACCTTCTGCCCATTGATGACTCTCATGATCACCATCATTGAGATGTTTAAGCTTGATATCATTCTCAAGTTGTGCATGGACTGGGATGACTTCACCACAGGGATGGCCATGTCTTCAACACTCATGACAGTTTCTGTTGCTATTACCTATGCCAACTTCTATGCTTGCCTGAAATGTCTCTATGGCTGGATAGTGAGTGTGTTTGCTTTCTTGTGTGGTTTTGTTTACATACTTGAAGTGGTGAAGGATAAATTCCTGGACAAGAAGAAGGGACGCTACCTGGCTGCATTACCTGGATTCTTGAAGGTTATGGAGGCCTTTGTGAGCTGCATCATTTTTATATCACTGACTGGTTACAGAGACAAGCCCGTTCTGATCTTGTGCATTATAGCATATGTCATTCCATTCCCCATCCTTCCAGTAATCATAGCCACCAACATCCTCAAAAAGCTGAAGAACTGTTTGCCATTTAACTTGGACAGGTTTGTGTTTATTTTCCTGGTGATCTCTGTTGTGCTTTATATATTTGCTGCAATCATGTGGCCCATTTTTATGTTTAGAAACAACCCTCGTCCCAGTGACTGCCCACCCAGCTTTTGTATCTGGGCCATTCAGTTTATGGTCGCATTTATGACCTATGTGAATCTAATTCTTTTCACACTGGACCTCATTTTTACTTTGTTGGGTATCTGTGGCTTTACACGCACATAATTTCTGCCCTAAAGTTGTACGATCACATTTTTCATGGACATGTAGATGTGGCTTGGACTTTTCACAGTAAAGGCTTAGACCTCTGATGATGAAAATCTTGGCATTGTGTGCATGAAATACTTTGCAAATTTGAGCTCAAAAGAAGTGTGTGAGCCAAGAGGGCAGTGCAGATAAATGTAACCTTGTGATAAAAACAGGTCCATCTCAGAGTGTATTAACTAAAACTGTTTGGAAATTATGTCTAAAGTAAAAGCACAATGAAGACTGCTGCTTGTGTAGGTTTTAGGTTGGAAATTTCTATTGTAGACTGTCAGTGAGTAGACATTTATCTATGTCTACAAAGTTAAATTAATTCTCTGCTAACACAACAACAGTTCACAGATAGTATATTCAAATCTCACAGCTTTGGAAACTGAGGTAATGGATGCAAATGTCACAGCAAACACTTAGAGCTGTAAAAAGGCACAGACTTGTTTACAATAACAGGTTTTTAGTTACACTACATGCTACTTTTAACCATTTTAAAAATATTTTTTATAAAAAATACAGACGTATAAAAACTGTGCCAATCACAACAATTCCACAACAGTTTGTGCACCACACAGACTGTTAACTCATTCAAGCCTCCTCTGGTTCCTCAAACTCTACATGCTCCAGCAGACCCTGAAAACAGAAGTAGTGTGAGTTGCAGAAGACAGGAGGCTTGGTGAGCCCTGAGCCCACCACTTCTGGTTTCAGCGAGGAGAAGGGGTTGGCTCCACTTCCTTTCATGTCCATCTCCAACTCAAACAGTATCTGCAGGGAGTAGGTCATCTCCACCTCACTGTGGACAGAGGACAGGAAGCATCAATAGCTACGACATGTGCTGTAATGGCAGTGGTGGAAAGTAACTAAGTACATTTGCTCAAGTAATGTACTTAACTATAGTTTTGTTTCTGTACTTTACTTGAGTATTTTCATTTTCTGCTACTTCATACTTCACTACATTTTAGAGACAAATATTGTATTTTATACTTCACTACATTTATTTTACAACTTTAGTCAATAGTTACTTTTCAGAACCAAATTAATACATAAATAACACTATTGATCTCGTGGAAAAATCACAAGCTACCCAGCAGTAATTGAAATTATAAGCATATAAGCTAGTTAAAACTGGCTCCACATTTACCAGCTGCAACATTAAATGTGAAGTTCACAATAATACATAAATAATTATAATCCAATGATATCATATACATTAATTTAAAATGTGCCATTCTGCATAATGAATATTTTTACTTTTGGTACTTTAGGTATGTTTTGATGCTTATACTTTTGTAATTTTACTTTAGTCACATTTTGAATTGAGGACTTGTAACAGAGTATTTTTACACTGTTGTATTGCAAATTTGACTTAAGTAATCGATCTGAATACTCCTTCCATCACTGAGTAATGAATATCAATTTGATGGACACGGTAACTGTTGATAATAAGAGAGTAGTGAGAAGATAGTGAGCTTGGCTAACAGTAAAAGTACCACATTCATGTATACATTCAGGCTTATTTTCATACTTTCAAGTGCTATTGTCACATACGCTACAGTAATGCAAATGATGTGCATTAATATCAGTGTGCCAGTTTGCATGCTATCCACTGTTAAATCAAACGAGGGGCGTGTAGGCTGAGTGGTAAACTGACAATGTGTGAGAAAGCAGGGCAGTCTAAAAATACAATCCATTAAAGTTTCTTTAACTCCCAAATTCAAAAAATAAGCATAGTAACTGCTTGACTACATGTCAAGAGGCTTCATGATCCAAGTTAAATCCTATCCCCACTAGTGCATTATAATATATCATCTCTAAACTGTTTACTGTTTTTATATTTAGGTGTCGTAAATCAGTTGTGAGGAATTCAGCTGTGTTACTACTAGTCTGTAAGACTCACGTAACAGCAGTGAAAAGAGAAGGAATTTCATAATCTCTGAGGAGCAGGAGTGTTGGAAGCCAGCCCTGGTCCAGGCCCTGACTGGCATCAAACCCTTGACACAGAAACGATGTAGAAGAAATATCAAAAAGAGTTCAGCATGAGCAAGGACCTCCACCTCAGCTGCTAGCTCAGCTAACACAAAACACACAAAGATTTTAGAGTGTGAAAGGGAGTTTGCTATAAATATTTGTGTGTGATGGGAAAGATGTTCTCACCGGGATGAAATCCAACCACCAAATCCGGCCTGGCTGCCTCCTGTTTCTCCACCAGCTCCTCCCAGAACTGGTGGTAGAGGCCCTTGTAGGCACTGATGTAGACCTTCTGCTTGGGTCCAAATGCTGTAAGAGGAGGCCTCACAATGGGACCGTCCACCACCTCTGGTCCCACCATGACTATCTCGATACCCTGGTGTCCAGGGAACATGTTGTTCAGCTCATCGTAGTCTGTCAGTCGGGCTGCCAGTGTTTCACTGTGACCTGCTCCTACCAGGTGAATGACGAGAGGCTTGCAATAAGGGTTAAGGCCAAACAGCCGCATCCCCCAGGCTATGGTCAGCGGCCTGGAGAAGAACTCACTGCAGACCCTCCACAGAGACTGCTTCAAGTCTTCATCGTCAGGCCGAGGCCTTCCAGCGTTGGACCACAAGTCTTTCATGTTTGCTCCATTTAAAACAGGACTGAGACGAGCTGTGAGATCCCCCTGCATCGTGAGCCAGTCATCCCATCCTTTAACCTCTGACTGTGGCTTTGACCATTTTTCTGTAGGGAATGGAAGGTCTCCTGATGATAGGAAAATACAACTGAAATCAGTCGAGTAGAATAATAGAAGTAGACACTTCATGAGTTTTGGTCACAGTTCTCCTTTGCACATTTTTTCATTTTTTGTTCTTGGAATTCTTTTCTCATTGTCTTATCATTTGTGTATTCTGTCATTCATATATGTTTTACCTTTGAACACAAGCCACTCCACAACTCTGTCAATGGCAGCTAGACGCAGCTGTGAGCAGAACGTCTTGTGTTTTGGCCAGTCCTCCTTCTGACAGTCTTTAGAGCAGTAATAAACATTTAGACATCTGTGCAATGAGAGGACAAAACGTACAAGGTCTGTCATCTTTAAAATTTCAAGCTTTGATGACTTTGCAGCATGAGTTTACTGAATGAAATCTCTCCTTACCTAGCGCAACGCTTTAGGTTCTGTGGGTCTGAGAGCTGATGTGGCCTCTTCTCGCAATGTGCACAAACTTTAAAAGATTCCGCCATCTTCTCAAACATCTCTTTTTGAGACCGGAAGGCCAAGGGTTTACCCTTGGTCTCTGGAACAGTCCTGGAGATAGAAAATAAAAATAACTTAAATGCTTAAAATAGACATAAAATAGATTAATCTGTTGCAGTAGACTGTTAATCTTTGTTTGTAATTTGAATTCCAGTTACATTATGAACACCACAGGCTAATGTGATTGGTACTAAAACACACGGTGGCTTGAAGACTACAGAGGCCTGTACTCTTCTATTCTTAAACTAGGACAGTTTGCTACAAAAGGAGAAATGTGGAGGGGAATGTATGGGTACATTCATGAGTTCACATATAAAAAGTGTGCAGAAAAGTGGCCTCAATCTTAATGCCGATGAAAGTGAATAAGACATCACTGAGCAAAAGTATGAACCAGGCTGTGATGGCATGATACACTATCACGACCCCCAGACAGTTGTCTTCCTCCACATGTATTCAGACACCTATTATTTTTATGTTGTCATGCGGAAATGTACATCTATAAATTTTAATCAAAACTAATATACAGTGTAATTGAACTGCCAGTGAAGTAAGTAAAAACTTACCTCTCAGTTTCTGTCATTGGTAAATGAGTCTCACGTAGGAACGGTTCCCTGTTTCTTGCTCTGCTGCTCCACTGGTTTGATATCTGAGCGGCCTAGTGGGGGCAGCTGCTGCCAGATATAGCAGCTGTGCTATGCCTTCCAGAAAGGGCTGACAACTCCCACACCATTCCTGACTTCACAAGAGATAGACTCACATGGGACACTGCAAAAAATGACTTTCATAACTATCCATAATTAAAGGTTATTATGGCAAGAAACCACAAACCCATGTATGATTCAAGGATACATATCACCCAAAATACATCTATTTAGTGATGATACAAGGTCAGTAAATTAATTTTAATCTATCCACAGGGCACAGCCTATGATCACCAGTGTTCTTGAGCCCCACTCCTATAACTCTACCTATATTTAGTTTTTACCATTTCATCCGCTGGAGGTCAGCATTACGCTGCAAAGTCATTTTCCACAGAACTATGACAATTCACCTTCTGAAGACACAAAAACGAAACACATGCAGAAAAAAAATGCATTTATTAGTGTCATGATTCAACATTGCTAAATTTTTTAGCCAGAAACGGAGCCATTCACTTTCTTAATTGCTACAGAATTTTCTTAAAGTGTACATCGACCCCAATTTCTACACCCCTTATTACCCCATATGAAAATAGCTGTCATGTCAAAAAAAAAAAAAAAAAAAAAAAAAAAAAAAACTGTAT